AAAGATAATTAAAGAAAACTGTAATATTAGTTCTTCAAAGGCTTTTAAACCAGCCAGGCTTACTTCAGATTGGAGCACAAATATAAGGCTGCAATTAAATCCAAAATAAGTTGAAACTTGCAGCATGGTGCGTTTGACTGAATGCAGAGCTTGAATTTCATTTTCATATCAGCACGTTTGCCCATCAGTTACTCTGCAAAGGAATCCGTTCAGGACGACGGCAGCGGCTGAAAGATGAAGATAAAATATGTCCCTGCACACAACTCGTCACTCGCTCAGTCAAAGGAGCAGAAAGCACTTTAACTGTTAAATAGAGCTTAAGAGAACATAAACAGCTCGAGCGTGGGTCTGAAGTAGATTTATAGAGATTGTAAAGATTATTATTAAGACATGTGGGTTCACTTAAGCATCATCTCAGGACTTTGCACGAGTGTGACCGTAACAAGATATCCTCCAGGGAGGATATAAAACGACGTTACACTTTATGTAATTGGAATAAAAATTATTGGCGTTTGTTTGTCGTCAGTTTTATGTCCAGTTTTTACTGTATGTGTTTATAACTTGTCTTTAGGAAAGATATGTTTAAAAGTGACCCCTAAATTATGATTTTACAAGACGAATTAGGAATGCACGGTGTAGTTCCTTGCATGTTCTAACTAGAGACCCACTGTTATGGAAATTTGGGCTATCGTCGATACGACAGCTCAAACCCCTATTACGGCTTAAAATATCGGCCTTACCGATATATCGGCCCTACCAATATATCGGTAGGGCTGCCGATATATCGGTCAGACTCTTGTTCTGACCACATCTTTCTTAATTGTGTTTCCAAAAGAAAAAGAACCCTTTTGAGTGATTTTTGCAAACTGCCTTGACAAAAAGAAGTAGAGGAAGACCCTTTTTGAACTGGAAGCAGCGCTGAGTACCGCTAGAAGGGCATACATGCTAAGTGTAACAAAGTTTAGCACGTACTGTTGGGAGGCCAACAATCTGATACGTAGTTTTTCCAGCTGCAGCTTGAATGCTGCATGTCTAACAGGCCCTGGTGTTACATTTACCAACGAGGAGGAGAACAAACAGCAGTGTAGGTTTTGTTCATAATACCCTCAGACAGGAGCGATTCTAGGATCTGACCTTCAGGGGTGCTTAGCCCCCAGTACTGACAATGGCTCTTGGCTCCATAGTGTGGTTTGTGAGAAGTGCAAAAGTTTACAGCACCTGGTATTCCCAGGCGGTCTCCCATCCAAGTACCAACCAGGCCCGACCCTGCTTAGCTTCCGAGATCAGACGCGATCGGACGTGTTCAGACTAGAGTTGCATTCGGGTCCATAAAATAAATTTCTGACCTGTCCCCAACCCGTAGCCATAATTTCCGAACCCCACCCGATCCGACAAATGAACAGTAAATACAGGTCCGAACTAAAAAAAAAAAAACGGACATTTTTAATTAAGCTTTGGCTGCTTAAATTTACGGTCGGCGGACATGCGCGGCTGAGTAAAGGGAGCAGAAGATCAGAGCTGAGGGGGTGTTTGTCCTTTCATGGCTATCAAAGCTCATTAAATGCTTCCCCCGCTTCTGCTTTGACGTGGATATTTTGTGATCTCACCTGTTTGGGTCATCGGCCGCGCGCATCCTCTGAGTGCAGCGGCTGAATGAACGTCCATTTGGGCGATGGATGGCTTGCAGTTCATCTGAAGCTTAACTGAACTTTTTACCTCTTTCATGGCCGGTCAGCGTGCGGTCAAATGGCCACGTGTGGCAGGTGAAAGTATGGCAAGCCATGTTACCATATAATTAGATCGTCAGTCTCGCGCACCCGCTGACGCAATCAAAAGCCCGACACTGACCCGGTCCGCACATTTAGCACATTATTATGGACTGACCTGGTCCGAACCTGGATTGGGCGGGGCCGGGCACCGGGTTTGGGTTAGAACTGGCAGCTCTAGTTCAGAGTGGTGTGGCTGTAAACGATAAGCTCAGTCACACATAGGACTTTTAAAAGATCATAACAAAGACTAAACTTATGCAACCAGAAGCTGCAGCATATATCTACACACAAAACACACAAAACACAACACAACTAGCTTTAAACATTAACCTTTAATTTAGACATTAAGCATACAATGTCATTATGACAGAAAATGGAGGATTTACCTGCAGTTACCTTCATACAGATGAACGTGTGGTACTTCCTGTTTATCACTGTTGTAATCAGTTGATCATGAGGTCGACCGCAGACCTTTATCATCTTTTACATTTTTCCAGACTCCATTTAGGTTTTAGAAATGAAATAAATGTATTCTACCCTCTAAACTATGTGTCAAACTCGAGGCCCGGGGGCCAAATGTGGTCCTCGTTGACATCTTATCTGGCCCCCAAGATGATTTGTGAAACGTAAAATACTTTTATCTCTTGAATTTTTTTCAGTAATATTTTATTATGATGGCGAAAGCACAGCAGAGAACATGAAATGAGACCAATCAAACTCTTGTTGAGGAACCTGTGACCAAGAAAATATGTTGGGTTTCTGATTTGAGCTCATGTAGATTCTGAAACTGGCAAAAGGTTTTAATTTTGGCCCCCTTTTGTAAGTGAGTTTGACACCCCTGCTCTAAACGCTCAGGGTAACGCTTACACATTTCACCAAGAACGTTTAACAGAGAATCATCTCCCGTCCACACGAGGACTGTTTGTACAGCTGTGAGACTGTTCTTCTAGTAAGAACTGGTGTTCCTTATGCAGCAGGCCTCATTAGCAGGTAACACCAGGTGTCCAATCCATCTGAGTGACAGCCAGGTTGGTTTTTTAAAGCTCCGTCAAGTGTCAAACTCCAGTTCAACTCCTCGCGTGGTCCCGTCACTTCACTCCCCGGCACCGTGGAGTTCAGTAACCAGGACACGGGTGCTTTTAGAGAAACCTTTGTAAGCACTACAGTTATTAAGATTCAGGCGGGGTAGTGGCTCGATTCACCTTGAGCATGTCAAATCTGTTGGCTGCGCTCAGACCAGCTGATAATACAAACTGTTAAATGTGAGCCGGAGTGGAGGACGAGGTGAGAGGAGCAAAGACGGAGGAGGTAGAAGAAGCGCGTTTCCCTTCGGGTTTGTCGTCAAACTTGAGCGGCCCCGAAGCCGTGACTTTGAAGTGGCGCCTTTGATTAAGGCATTAATTAAAGAGAAGCTGCTCGGAGGCGAGCAGATAACTGAACACGGAAGTGGAGCAGACAGTAGAGCAGGAAGAAGCGGGAGCAGCGCTGAGGAGTGACGGCTCAGAAGATGTTCAGGTGTTTCTGGTTGACAGAGAAGCCAGGTGGCGCCGCGGTGACAGCTGGAACAAGAAAAAAGAAAGGCTGCCCACGTGTGTGAACATCACCGCTTCTGTCCTGCTGCAAGCTGCAGCGATGCTCCACAAAGCTTTAATGAAAATGGATGATGGTGGATCTGCAGGAAAATATGACTCCAGCCTTGATTTATATAAAATAAATGGGAACAGTTCTTTTGTTTCTGTTCATAGTCCCTTTGTTACTCAATTAACCCTCTTCTCCCTCTTCACTTTAAGGCCCTTCATCTCTTCTTTTCTACAACCCAATAATAGATGAGTGACAGAAAATGGACAGATCCCTCACTTTTCATTTTGTGCTAAACATTTGATTTGTTTTTCCTGTTTGTCCTAATCTGATCGAGAAGACTTCTCAAAGAAAACAGCATGATTGTTTTTTTGTGTGGAGTAGTTATGAGCAAGCAGTATCTTACCTGCAATAAGCAGTCAGAAGTAGACATGTCAAGATTAACAATAAATCAATTAATCGCTTGATAATTGAAAATTATCGACCTTGTCGTCATTTATCAGCTTTATCGTTTCTTCGTGTCTCTCTTTCTACTGAAGACACTGGATGACAAAAGACTCAACTCCGGTGCTCGTCACTGACCCCTCTCTTTCTCTTTTCTCTTTAAAATCTGTTTTAACTGTTAAAAATCACATTGTTGGATCATTAAAAGCAGCTAAGCTACAAGCTAAGCTAGCAGGCAGAACTTGGGTAAAAAAACTCCGTCTTGTCGAAGCTCCAAAATTCACGGTTGAAACCCGTGTCTTCATGTAAAAAGTTGTTTTTCTCTGCAAAAAGAAGCTGAGAACTTGTTTACTGATGTTTTTTTTAATTGAAAGCTTTGTGTGAAAAATGTTATGCTAAAGAGCTCAAACCACACCGAGCGTCCGCCACTTTGAGAACAAATAACAGGAAGGAGAGACAGCCCATGTCACGTCAAGGGGCCTCCCTCCCGTTTTTCTTAAAGAGACACTCTGCTCGCTCCCTCACTATCCACCCTTCAGTTCAAACAGTCTTATACTGCCATCCGGTGGTCAAAAAAGGTACTGCACTCAACACAAATTAACCATTTCTTCTTAAATTTGACAATTACTACAGTTAATTATTGTCAAATTACAAACTATATTATTGTTTATCTTAATAATTTCTGAGACAATTAATCGCCCAGCAAAATTTGTTATCGTGACAGGCGTAGTCAGAAGCCCCGTTCGTACCCGCCACTGACATCCGTCACGTCTGATACGATCGTACTCGACATATGGATGTGAACGCTCTTGAAACAGATTCAAGACAACTTTGCTGAGGCTGCATTCAGAGGCAGCTTAAAACATTTGCCTTTATATTTTAGCTGTCTGAACATATGAATGTATTTGTTTTGTGGGAGGGGCTTGTAGTAAGATTTGTCAATTAAAACCGTTATGTCAGAATTGATCAACTAGTGATCGGTGGGCTGCTGTGTGTTCAGTTTAACGTGTGTTCTGGTTGTTTTTGAGACGTTCAGACCCATCGTGGTCACCGTAGTAAATCACAACGCTCTCATGAGATCACCAATTATTTTGTCTTAATTTGTGTCTTTGTGTCCTGTTGTGTACCTGAGCGTACATCCGTGTAAATCTTTTTTTGTTTTTAAAGGAAAACACTAAAGTTGTGTGACTTGTGTCTTATCGTTGCCAGCCGGGGTTTTATAAGGGCGTGGCGGGTTCTCAGGTGACCCTGTCCAGCCTGGTCAACCAGTCCCGGGCCATGCTGGAGGAGCAGGCGCGCCACCTGCTGACGGAGGCGGAGCGTCAGACCATGAGCTACTACGTGGAGGAGTACAGAGACGGGCACGTCGGCATCGAGCAGCTGGTCATGGCGCTGTTTGAGCTCCTGAACACGCACGCGAAGGTGAGCTACGATCACGAAGATCAAAGGAGAATCAGTTTTTCTCTGAGCAGGGATCTGAACCGGACCTGCTGCGATGTTGGCTCTGAAGCTTCCTGAGATTTACAACAAGGAGGTTTTTATTGTTGCACTTCGAGTCTCCATCATCCTCGCCTCCTTAGAGTCTCTTGGTTCTTCAATCCACACAAAAAGAAACAATCTGATTTATGTGCATGTTTTATTTCCAGGGTATGAGCTCAATATGAATCGCTAAACGTTTGTACACCCCCTCAGGATGTTCCACTGTGAATTCTTTTCACTTAAACAACCGTTAAAAGATGGAAACTTCAGTATTTCATATTACGTTTATATACAGTACTGTGCAAAACTTTTATCATTCAGTTTATTTATTTATTTCCTTACAAGTGGACAGCCATTGTTGTAATCTTATAAAACAGTTTTAGCTTTTTATTTTAACTTCGGCTGCTTTTTCCCCTCCCCATTAGGCCGCAGATCTCTGACGTATGAATCCTTCAGGCATAAGAAAACTCCTAAAACTGTATTTTTAGGCTCTTTGTTACCAGCAGCCTGTCAGAAAGATTCAATTTGCTCCTGTTTTTAAGTTCATCCTAAAAAATCACCGAAGATAAAACTGTTTGATGGACAGAACAAATAATTTTAGCTCCACGGTGATACCCAAAATGGTAAAAAAGCTGCAAACATGTCAACGACCAGCTGAAGGATGAAGCAGCGCTCAGGATGTTGCTGGATTTGTTTCCCATTTTTGAAAGACGTTACCTTCAGATACTCTTCATCTTCTACGGATTCTGTTTTCAGGTCTGACTTTTTTTCCTCAGCATCATCACTTCCCTCATTTTTTGAAACATTGCACAATATTCCAAGTAATTAAAAAAAGGGGTAAGGCAGCTAAACACGGCAAACTTTAAAACACCCCCATAAAGCTTGAAGAACTATTGATCAAGAGCACTTTAAGGCAGAGGGGGTCCTGGTCCTGAGGGCCTCTAACCTGCATGCTTTAGATTTTATTTCTGCTCCAACACACCCGACTGGAGCTGAGCCACCGTACCGCTGGAGTTCAAACCTTAAAAACACCGTCGTGCACATTTTGGGACATGACGAAGCGTCGCGCTCAGCGTGTGTTCTGGATGACTCTTTCTTACTCGTGATCCGCTCAAGATAATTTAACAACTTGACACACATGCGCATCATCGCTGCACAGTGTTGTGTACTCATTGCGTACGTCACACTGAGGTCAAGGTCACAAATCAAGGTCAGAGGTTTGCCGACGTGCGTTTAATGTGCCGTATGCGTTACTCTTGTTGCCTCGGTCAGCCATCTTGATTTACGTTGACTTCAAAAGGTCATTAGTTGTGGATAAACATGCAGTGATCACTTTGAGAGTTTTATTTCATCCGACGCGCAGGTTCATGAGATATTTTGCTAACAGACACGGGCTATCAGCAGTAGTGATGATGGGATTTAAAATATATTTTGTGTAAATTAATGTTAGTCATAGTTAAGACCCAACAAAATAAAGTCCAGTTTAACTCACGATAAAGAAATGTAATTTAGTAGAGATGCACGATATTGAATATTTGTCTGACATGTTAAAACCTACTTGGCTGATAACCGATACCAATACCGATATTTTGTTTCCTAGACCTACTTACAGAGATTACATGGATTTCTCTGCTGTGGAATTAAAACACTACATTATTCTGCACGCTCTTTGTCAGTTTGGCCTGATACCAAATGCGGATGACAAAAAAGGGGCTGAAAATGATGCAACGCTTCAACTTGGATTATGTTTAATGTCACATTTATTCATGACATTTACTCTAACACAATGACAACACTGGAACAGTGCACATTAGTACATTTTCACAAATCTGACCTCCACGGCGTGCGTGACGTCGTCACATTATGCTGGCGCTGCAGGCATCCGTGTCGCTGGGTTGTCATAAAAAACAGCACCTTTTGTATCGGTGAGTTATTTTGATGGAATGGCCGATATTTAACTTTATCGCTCGTTTCGGCAGATACCGATACATGCCGATAATATTGTGCATCCCTATAATTTAGTTGTGATACCTTGATTATGAAACAAAGATTTTAGGTGATAGATTTAATCTGAAGATTCTTGATTTATGTCAGTACACGTCGTTACTCTGTAAGTACATGCAGTGCAAGTATGAGATGGAATCCATCTGTAGGATCATATGTGTGGAAAGTTAATTTGTACTTTTCGGTCCCTCACAGTTCTGTCTGCTGTCGGAGGTCCGAGGCCTGGTCACCCCTCAGGACCTGGAGCAGTTTGACGGGATGGTGCTCCGTCGAGAGATTCAGGCTCTGAAAGCGCGACAGGGGCCAGCCGGGACCACGGTCGTGCAGCCGGACTCCCTGTCCATGGTGTCGTATCCGGACAACTCGTCTTCAGCCAGCTTCATGACCAACACCACCCTCAGCTCTGCACGGGTAGGTGGTGCCACTGTCTGGGTCCAGTTCAGCTGCTTCTTTACTCTGGAGTCGGTCCACATGAGGACTCGTCTGACATCCATTCGGTTTGAATGTTTTTCAATACAACGAATGTGCTCGATGGATCCTTATCACTGTTTTTACTCCTTATATTTCACTTTTTACCCCACAACACCTTAAGGTAAAGGATTGACCTTAGTCAACACAAAAACAACTATAATTCAATCAGTTTTTCATATATCGGGCTGACATTTGGCGTGGTGGTAGCTGACAGTCATTCACAAGAAAAGCTCAGAGCGCTAAAGGTGGATTTATTCACTTCAACAAGACGTGAGGCAACCGATCTGTCGTTACGTAGTTTCAGACGTCTTTGTCTCACAGAGTGCTTACAGGAGAAGACGTAGGGGATGATCATCATACTTCCTCTCTCTGCTCTCCCACTGCAGCGCACGTCACGTGCACAGCTTAGCATGTGAACAACAGATAGATGGACTGAGGTTTGTGTTGTTGGATGAGGAGTGGGAGGAAGAGGAAGATGTGGTATTCCTCTTGTTCACCACAAAGACGTTCATCTTGCTACGATAATGACCAACTTCTGGGAGCGGCCATTTTCAGCCACGTGGCGTGCAGAAGAAGCGTGCACACGAACAAACACGCCCGTGAAGTTCTGACCGATAACACAGTGCACGTTGTGTAGCCCGCAAGACGCTCCATGATTCTCCAAGGTCACTTCCTCGGCAGGGCGCTCGTCTGTTCTGGGGGCGGGGCTCCCTCCTTGGATAATGGTGTTCTGGGGGCGGGGCTCCCTCCTTGGATAATGGTTTGGGAAACACTGGTTCTTACTGGGGGCTAAGCACAGCGATGCTAACAGATGGAAGCTACGCCATTTTCATCACGCAGCGGCATCAGCGACCCAGTAGAATGGAAGTATAAATCAGCTTCAGCTCAGCGCACGTTGATGGGAATAGTTTTGATTATGCTACAAAGCTAAAGATTGTGTTTTAATTTTAATTAGTTCTTTATTTGTGTTTATTATTATACACCCGTCCCAAGACAGACGTATTACGGTTTAGTGTCTGTAGACCTGTCCGTGAACTTCTGATCCACTCAAGATAAGTTAATGAAACTTGATACACATGTGCCGCCTATTATTTTCATTCCCTCAGCTCCAAGGTCAAGGTCACAAGTCAAGGTCAAAGTTAAACAAGGTCTTTACTTGTCTGGACCAAAAGCCCTGATCCACTCAAGTAATATATATGTATATATATATATGTAATATATTAATCATACCGGCGTCAAGGTCACAGATCAAGGTCAACCATTATAAAAAGTGCTTGTTGCTGTAGAATAGTTTGTCGCCGGCGTGTAATGTGCCGTACTCTTCAGAAACATCATGTGTTGGATTTAAAAGTGACACGTTTTTCCACCTGTGGAGATGAAATCATCTTCAGCTGATATTTTATAGGCTGTGTTTGCTCTCCTTCAATACCCCCCCCCCCCCTGCGCAGGAGAGGCTGCTGTGGCTGATAGACATGATGGAGGTAGGATTTACTGCTGAAAATGATGGTTTCTTTCACAAACGCTCAGAATCCACACTAAAACAAGATGTCAAGTTCTCTAAAGGGAGGCGTGACGTAAAAACACACTTTTACTTCTGTTGGTGCTTTTGCAGTGAATTTGTTTGAAGTGTCTTTCATCCTTTGTGTGTTTTTTTCTTCTATCTCGACTTTGAGAGGAATTGTTGTGCTTTTACACTTTGCTCAACCCCCTATAATGAAGGTTTCTGACTTATGTGGCTCTGATTGTGCTTATTTCTTCTAAGAATCTGATTAATGCGCAGCAGAAATATTCTGTTTTAAAGGACTGCATCAATAATTACAGCTCATGTACCTTTTTCAACCATCTGTTTTCCTTTAAGTTTTAATAAAACACAACTTTGACAGAAGTCATTACATTAAATCCATTCGGAGGATGCGTTTGTGACACCAACCAAATGAACTTAATGTTTTCTGTAAATTGCTGCAGCCACTTCGCAGAATGAGCTATTTCTCCTGCCAAGTTCTTCAAGGCTGCATCAGTAAAGTAAAATGTTTAATATCTTGCAGAAATGCAGCAGAAACATTTTTCACTTTTTCAGTGGTTTCTAAAATACGGGAAGTCAAAATATTTTGCTCAAGAGTTGGAGCTTTTGTAATAAATTATCTTTTTTTAATATAATTACAGGCTGTACATGATTATTTTGGGTTTCTTCTGTTATAAATAATAAAATATGCCACATATTTTTTTATGTTTTTCAAAGTAGTTTTGTAAAAAAAAAAAAGCAGTTTTTTTATTTGATTGATGAATCACTGAATAAATTAAAAATCTGGTAAAAATGTTTAAAAATATGATACATTTTATATAAGATTAAGTGAAATACAACAAAAAAAACTAAATTCAGAGTTTTGATTAAAAAGATGTTTGAATTACAACAACAAATAACTAATAAACACTGTATTCAGCTGAGGTTGGTAAGAATAAGTAAAAGATCTATAACTTTTAATATTGTAGTAAAATCAAGAGGCCTTCAGACAAAAATCTTATTATACAACAATAAAACTCATCTTGAATGTAGATAAATCCAGTTTTCAAGATAACCAAGTCTATTTGATCTTTTATAACCAAAGCTGACGTCTCCGAACCATCGCAGAATGACTAATAACTAAATAATAACTAAATAATAACTAAATTATTCCATATGACATCAAGCAATATGCATAATGACATTCTAAATCCTGTGATTGGCAGGTTGCACAGGCCCTCAAGCTTTAATACCAGTTTATCTTTACACACACCTCCCGTGTCAGCTCTGTGACTACCTCGGTTGACGTCTGAGGCGTAACAGCAGCAGGTTGACTTTAGCACCTTCAGCTTCGATCTTGGTCATTTCATAAATCACACTTGGATGGTAGGAAGGCCACGTAAACAGGGAACTAAACCCCACATGGTTTTTGATTTCGTTACGTTGCCTTCATTTACGAAATCTCACATCTTGGAGAAATACGGTTAGCTCGGATGGTGGCTCGTCTTTTTGGCTTCTTCGAGGAACTCTGAAGGAGGCTAACCAGTGCTCTGGGGGTTAGGACACCAAGACATTTGGAAAACATCCGTCCTTACCTGGCAGAGACCAATCTGCCTTTGAGGGAACTTTTTTTAATTTACCAAAACAACAAAGTTGAGCAATTTGTTTGCAAGCTCTGCTGTTTTTGAGGGATATGAATGTTCCTACCTTCAGTTTTTAAAGCCAGTCTGTAAAAACGCTGATATATGTTGGATTGTGTCTTTAGCCAGCTGAAAAGTTGGACCCCCTTTTGTAGCCACTTTTAAAATGCCCATTTGATCATCGGCTGTTCAGGCTCTTTACTCTTACGTGCGTTTTTCATTATACCTTTATTTGCAGAAAGGCTTTGTGTTAAGTTTGCATACAGGCTTAAACAGAACCAAGCCGGCCTCTCGTAAATACGTGCAAATGTTTGGTTGGACGAAGGTCAGTGACTGCACCCAAACAAACAAACACTCACACACACACACAGAACGTGTATCTGAGCTGACAGCAGAGATACGCCGACGACCGCCTGCAGATTTATCAGCCGAACGGTCCTTCTCATTCAGATTCCTCAGATGGACTTAGCCTTCCCTTCTACTTTCCCCTCCGAGAAGCAACATTTACATACCGTCAATTAGAGTGACGTGTCTGCGCTGGTCTGCGTTCTGCCTCTGTGTGTGCGCTTGTGCTGTTTTGTGACCCGTGAGTGATTTCTACCACGGCTGCGTGAAGCAGATTACAGAGCTGGGTTGGTTTTGGTGGATGGCTCTCGGAGCCAGGTGTGGATGCATACAAATGATTTTGGTTTGTTTCACTGTTTGTGCTGGGAGGTTTTTGATTCCCAGTCTCCTTACACAACAACACAAAGCAGTTTGTACACTACATTTGTCAGAAATTTAGCTAAACTCCCTCTAAAAATGAGCCGTATTTGATCCGGCTGCGTATCTGATCACACAGTGAGTTTATATAATCACACTGTCTGTAGTCTAAACCACGAGGAACCAGAAGGACTACAAGCCAAAGGAAAAGTGGCTCACAGCCTCTTGTCAGCCGCTTGGCACATCTGACAAAAGAAAAGAAAAAACCAAAACATGTTTGTTTTATAGCTGCAGAATCCACAAAAACAACACGAGAAAAATCTGCCTTTTCTGAGAAACTTCAGCAGCGAGCTGATTGACAGCTGAAGTTTCCAACCAAAACAAGTTCATTTAAAAATAGTTGGACCAAAGCTCTAACTGGCAGTTAAAAAGCTAAAGTCTTAAACCAGCAGAGCAGCAGCTAAAAGTTAAAGCCACGAGAGTCAGATAAAAGCTAAATCCAGCAGAGATAGCTAAAAACTAAAATCAGCTCTATTAGAGTTAAATACTAAAACCAGCAGCTAAAATCATAAATCAGCAGAGTAAACTAAAAGCTAAATCCAGCAGTTAGCTAAAAGTTAAGTTCAGCAGAGTAGCAGCTAATGCAGCAACTAAATCTGGCAGAGTATCAGCTAATAGCTAAAAACTGGAAAAGTAGCAGCTAAAAGTTAAATCCAAAAGATTCAACAGTTAATTGCTTAAACCAGCAGAAATTTAAAATGAGTAAAACAGTAGCTGAAAGCTATAAAATACAGCAAAGACACTGAATATTAAAAAAATAACATTTTAAGAAATCTTAATTATTTTCTTCTTAATACATTTCTTCTTAAATTTGACAATGTTGGATATTTTTATCTAGACTGGTCCTATGGTTTTGATCTGCTCAGAACCGGGTCGTAATTTCATTATAATCCCGTCTCTGAGCAGATCAAAACCATAGGACCAGTCTAGATAAAAATATCCTAATTACTAATTATTGTCAAATTTCAAACAATATTATTGTTTATCGCAATAATTTCTGGGACAATCGCCCAGAAACATTTGTTATCGTGACAGGCGTAGTATTTAGTCCATCCATTATCTTTACCCACTTCCTCCCTTTCGGGTTGTGAGGGTCACAGTGTCCATGTCCAGCAGTCACTGTGCGAGAGGGACACCCTGGACAGGTCTCCAGTCCATCACAGGGACAAACGAGACAAACAACCATTCACCCTCTCACTCACCTAGGGACAATTCACCAATCAGCCTAACGTGCATGTTTTTGGTCTGTGGGAGGAAACTGGAGTACCTGGAGAAAACCCACACATGCACGGAGAAAACATGCAAACTCCACTCAGAAAGGTCTTGGCCAGGGATTGGAACCTTCTCGCTGAGAGGCAACAGCTACCACCTGAGCCACCGTGCCACCACATATTTAATATTTTTAAAAAGACAAACTATAAAGAGGAGAAATAACTGAATGCTGAGTCAGCGTTCAGCACTGAATGAGCTGGTGCGCTCGCTCTGCCTCTGGACTGTAACGGCACTCGGTGGGCCGTACTGTAATCTGTGGGGCTGCTTGCTGTGCAGAGCTCTGGTGGGGAGGGTCGATGGACTCTGGTGATGAATGGATCGGCTGTAAGTGCTCCGCATGCAGCAGGGAGGGGTAATTAAGCTGAATGGATGGGGCTTTTGTTTTGGTTTAGTGGGGGAGTTAAATGAAGGGCAGCGGTTTTATTTATTTTTCCGCCCGCTCTGAAATGGCTCGCAGCTCTGATTCAGTGCCTCGGTTCTGCCACGCCACCCGGACCGGGCCTTCAGTCCCCGCTTTGGACCACGTCGACGGTTCTTTATCGATCTCGGCGCTCTGCTTCTGAAAGAAGACGCGATGGCTTCTGCGTGGCTCATCGTCTTTTCTTGCATTTCACTCCATGAAACTTGCAAACAAATGTGAACACCCGCCATGAAGGCAGAAGGGCGACGATGTTTTTGCCTTTGCTTGCGTTCGTCATGAACCACTGGATGGATTTAATTCAACTCAAAAACTATGTTTGAAATCAACTGCATTGAATATGATCAACCTCCACGTTCACAAACTTCACTACAAACAGTTCAGCTGGCGCTTGGTGTGGTGGTAGCTGAGAGTCATCCTCAACACGTAGTCCGATTACTTCAGTTGTTTACAAGGTTTAATTAAAATGTAAATCCGTTGTTGCATCATGAAATGATTTGGATTTAGCTACACGTCTCTTCCTTGTAATGGGGGGAAAAAAACCTCATCTGTAAATCTGTCCCAGTTGTTTGAATTTCACCTCCTGTTCCTGTCCCCCCCCCCCCCCCCCCGACTTGTTTCCTGCATCTCTCAGAACGACAGCGTGGCGGAGAGTAACGAGGAGGATCCTCCGGAGAGTGTGAACACGCTGCTGACTGACGTGTCTCTGGTGAGCCCGGTTCACTCGCTCCCTCTGGGATTAGTGGGAGCACTCGAGACGTGAGGTGGAGAAGACCCAGTGTGCAACAAGAAGGCGTAGAGCGAGTTTCATGTTGTTGTAAATAAATAAATAGGGTTAGGAAAACAAAGAATTTTATTTTGAAATGCATGAGGTCTCTGGGGAGAGTTAGCTTCTGTGCTTTAATCCACGCCCACCTGCCAATCACATCATCCATTACTAACATTATTATTGTTTTTCTGGTTGGTTATTGTTTCGTCTCTCATGCGCTCATGTTTCAATGTTCATTCCACTGTTCAGTTTGGTCAGCCATACTGGAAACCAGCAGGTTGGATCCACCCTGGACCATGGATGCTGCTGAAGCCGGAGTCAAGTGTCGGACTCGACCGATACGATAAAAATATGAATACGTGAAGATACGAACGCATGTTCCGGTTCTCTGAAGGCACCGCTGCACGTTTCTCTGCTTTACTACACCTGATTCAGATGAATGGACCTTTATTGGGCTTTCACACATCGACAGCTAAATTGATGCTTAAATCCAAATATAGTCTTAGAGCTTTGAGAATTTTTATTGACGTTTCCTTCTTTGTCTTTTAAGTTGGAAACAGAAATTTAAAAACCGTGTTGAGTAAAACCAGCTAGGTCTACCTGCAGAGCAATATTCCACCTGCTGCCTTATTTTAAATAAGAAGATATTCTCTTCTGTTTGGAAAAGTTGCATTTAACACATTTTGTTTGCATTCCTGGCAACATGTTAGAGTTCCTTTTATACTTTAATTTTTCTGGTGTCGGTTTGCTCCGATTCTAAGCCCCAACTGTCGCGCAGCGAAGACATGATTTGGGAATACCGTCTGTCTGGTTCATCTTGTGAGCTGGATAACTTAAAAAAATAACTCGGGTACAAAGTTTCACTTTGATGTGTGGCTGCGTGTAGGTTTAAAAAAAGGTTGTAAACCTACCATCCCAATCATTTGAGGAAACTATAATTTGTTGTTTTAAATTTTGCTTAAAAGTATAGTTTCCTCAAATGATCGGGGTGGCTAAATATTAATCTTTGGTGGCCAAGGCCCACGTTGGCCACCCCCTGGCTCCGCCCATTGCTCCTTCTGGTGGATATGGTGGATTAGTTTACTTGAATTCTCTTTTCGATTTCTGGCCAGGAAAACACTCATCTAGAAAACTACCATATTTTTAACCCTATAAGTCATATTTATTTGCATAATTTACATGCCCTGTGACTTATAGGCTGAAGCGACATATTTATGGATTGTTTCCCATATTTATAAACAATTTTTGGCTGAGATGTGACCGTTTTCATTCATTTTGATTGAAAATATTGAACACTACCATTTTCAGCCACTAGGTAGCAGTTGGGTAGTATGGTATGCCGTTGTATCATGTAATAGTGGCTATTAATGGCACAATCGACTTGCCCTGGCCTGACACAGTCGTCTGTCTGGAGCAACTGAATCAGCTTCATTTCTCTGCGCCGCCCCGGCGAAATGCAGCTGATTTAACCGTTGAAGTGCGTTTATTAAGTAAAAGTTCAACTGAGTCACACCTTTACTATAAAGTAAATATAAATAATTGTTTTTAGGTGCTTATCTTGTTAAATTCTTGTTAAAGTCCTCCCGCGCACGCTCCCGCGGTGGCGCGTAACAGACGCGACGCGTCAGCGGTGATGCATAATAGATGCGACGTATGAATGGATTTTTTTCCACTTCGTTAGACAAACATGGACTTGTAGGGCGGTGCGACGTGTACGGAGGAAAACACGGTACAAACATTCACCGTTCAAATCGCTGAGCGACGGGAGACATGGGCGTACCGCTTGTTTCACCTACAGTCTGTAAAACACACGGCGTTCTCTTTAGTTCTTTGTCCAACCGAAGTTTAGACACGTTTCTTCTGCACAAACTGACAGTCTTTGATGAGGCATGTGACGCATTTTATACAATTAAATGCCACAAAACTCGACTGACAAGACGATCTAAAACTCACTGAAAAATATCATTTAGCCTACATTTTTGTTTTATAAAGATTTAGTTGCACAAAAAGAAGAAAATTACCAGACCTTTGAATTAGCATGTTAGCATTTAGCCACAACAGTTTATTTTCTGATACATTCAGTGATTGATTACATCATTTAGCAACTCATCAATAATTAAACTTGTCCATTTTTATTAGATGCTGAAGGAGAACCGTCAATAATCTGTGCACACTCAGCCCTGAACCCACACATCTCGTCCATGTAACAAATCCCCACATAACGAGATTAAGATATGTCAGGGATTAGGCAGATTATTGCTCACTCAGCATAAGACTGTGTTTAGGTTGTGATGAGAAGACACGGTGTGCACGGTGGAGTTTAATTTAAAATAAGGTGTTCTGAATATTGCTCTTCATGTTCAACGGAACAAAGTTTCTGAGAGTTTGTTTTTGATCAACGCAGAGAAATTTGAACTTTAGGCAGAAACAAACAAACACGTTTGTTTTTTTGTTCAGATACAAATAAATTTACATATTTTGATTAAAAGTCAGGTCTCTCTTGTAAATGAGTCCTCAAGGCTCAATGGGATTTACCTGTCTGAAGGTTGAATGAAAAAACAACAACAACACAAGAATCACAGAACAACTTACAGCTGATAAAAGTAACAAGATGAAACAAAAACTGAAAATCAACAAATAAAAACGAGTTGTTTTAGATTTTAGTTCAACAGAATTATTTTTTATAAACAAACGAGTCGACAGAAAAGATTCAGAACTTTAATGTTTTGTTGCTCAACCATTTGAGGCAACCAGGTGATTTATGTGACCTATCCACAGGTGTTCTGGTCCATCAGGTGTTCTGGTCCATCAGGTGTTCTGGT